GGTAGGCAAAGTGTGTTCAATGGGAACAGGACAATCAGTCATATACAGCCCCCCAAGCCTATTTAACCCAATGGGTTAAAAAAATTGAAGGGAATTTCAAAAACTTTGTGCTCAAATGCCCCAAATACTCTCACAGAGGCACAGGGGAACAATGTCTCCACATCTGTAGTGGGGGTGGAGGGGTCTATTTTAGGCCTATGAGAGACCTTTCTTAAAACAGTGACCTGAAAGTGACTTCTGAATCTACTTCTTGTTGTTAAAATAAGGCCTTTTCTGGGCCTGAAACAGCCCAGAGGAAGCAAAAACATGGTAATAAAATGCTCCCCATGTCCCCTAGAGGACATTCCCCTACTTTCTCACACACATGTACCACACTGCTATGTAATCATTTCCTTGCACAGATGGAGATGTTCTCTCACTCTCATGCACACACAAATGGGCATGCCAAAAACATTAGAGACTGGGCCATTAGGCAGAATGAGGCAGCTGCCTCAGAAAGCAGATGTTATGTGATGTTGATGGACAAAGATGTGCATCCAGATAACCTACTCTAAACCTTCATAAGTTTGCCTCCTACTCTTAGGTGTGCTAGAGAATGCATTCTCATTGCCAGTGCAGAAATTAAATCCAATAGCCAGTCTGGTCAGTTTCTGTAGGTGGAAAGAACTGGAGGCCATCTTCTCCTTTCCCTCATTCAGCAAAATGTCTTGGGCCAACCCAGAAGGGGCCTTCTTTTTCTTATCCCTCTCTTTCAACTACAGTTGTCTCTCCAAGTTTGCGGATTTGACTTTTGTGGATTTGATTATTCACAGATTTTATTAATATGTTCTCTCTAGAAATATCTAGGTCCTCCAGTGCAACTCTATAGCTTTATCCAAAAGTCACAATGAAGGACCTAGAGATTCCCAGAGGAACACTCCACTAGGCATTTGTAGCTCCTCCAACACAATTCTATGGTCAATGTCCAGCAGATGTTGACTACAGAGCTGTGCTGGAGGACCTATAGATTCCTAGAGAGGTGTTCTCTCAGGTAAAAAAAAAATACTGTAAATATATACTCATATATAAGTCTAGAAATTTAGGTTAAAAATTGACCTGAAAAACCTGAGTCAACTTATCCACAGGTCAATGTAAGTACTGTAATTTTACACATATATATAACCATCCCCTGGTGAAAGGCAAGAATTTAATCTGTTCTGGAAACACTGACCCTCTTCTTCTCTCTCATCCATCCAACCTTTAGTATGACTGGAAATAGTTATGCCTGCTGGAATTTTGTAAGTTCTTTGGCATTCTTTTCCTTTGCTTTGTCCTTTATATTCTTCATTTCATGCCTCTAAGTTTTGCCTTTGACTTATCCACAGGTCATATGAAAATCCATAATTTGGGCCCCAAAACCTGCCCTCGACTTATACGTGAGGTTGACTTATAGCCAAGTATATACAGTATTATGTTTTTTGTTTGCATTTTCCCACTTTTACAGGGATCCTGTGCCGCTAACCCCAGCAAATGTGGAGGGACGACTGTACATTTATTTTCTCCCTAACTCCTTTCCTCCAGTTCCCTTTGATCGTGAGCTATTGCTAGCTTTGCTTTCTTCTCCCTTACCCACTTTTTCTTCCTATCCATCTTCTGCCATTTTTCATTCCTCCATCTTCTTCCACTTTTTCTCTTAGATGATCACTGCTATGGTCATCTCCTAACCCCTGACAACCTCCCAGTCTGTGGCTTTCATCTGCCTTGTTCTTTCCTTCAGATCCACAAGTGTACCCCAAGGTCATCAGAGGAGTTAGGACCACCATTTGGCAAACTGAAGCAGCCGCCTCGGGTGGCTGGGGTTAAGAGGTGGCATTAAAATATTGGAGGGGACAGCTGTGTGCTATGTGACTTGCCAAAATCAGGGCTGGGCAACTGTTAGGGGCTGGGAGTTGTGTTGGCCCCCAAGACATTGGGATGGAAGCATCCCTTACCACCACATCTTCACCAGGAAAAAAAAGCAGTTTTGCATCCAAATGACAAAGAAAAGAAAATTTTCTTTTTTTCATCCTTAGCAAGCCATCCCATCTGTTCCTCAACTTCTTACGGGTCCCTATTTAGTTAAATATTTTCAGTAGGGGTGGGGATTGGGGAAAAAGGAGAGAGACAAGCACATCAACATCCAACACACTGAGACAAGCACATCAATAGCCAGAGCCTACTTTCCATCCCCAAACTTGCCAATGTTCCTCTAGAAAGCCCAGTCCATTAGCCCAGTATAGTCAACACAGATTGACAGCAGGTCTATAAGGTTGGGAGGCCTTTTTGTCCCTATCCCTACCTGGAATATTGGGGATTGAACCTGGGACCTTCTCCATGCGGAGCATGTGCTCTGCAACTGAGCCACAAGCCCTCCAAATGATAACAACAATATATCTGAGCATGTGCAGAGCAATGTCCCTCCTCCATGAGTAACCACAGCTCATCCCACAAAGCACATAAACCACATGCTAGCCATAAGTTGACAGACGATTTGAAGGTACACACATACATATACACACACATATAAAACCTATGTGAACAAAGATGGATTGCTGATCTCTATGGGTGCATCAACACTGCAAAAACAAGGCAGTTTAACACCACTTTATCTGCTGTAGCTCCAGTGTGGTACAGAGGTTTGTGTGTTGGACTATGACTCTGGAAATCAGGATTCGATTCCCTGCTCAGCCATAAAACCCACTGGGTGACCTTGGGCAAGTCACACTCTCTCAACCTCAGGGGAAGGCCATGGAAATCTCCTCTGAACAAATCTTGCCAAAAAAAACCTCATGATAGGGTCACCTTAGGATCACCATAAGTCAGAAATGACTTGAAGGCACACAGTCTCCATCCTATAGAATCCTGAGATTTGTAGTTTTACAAGGTCTTTCGCCTTTTCTGCCAGAAAGAGTTGGTGTCTCACAAAACTGCATATCCCAGAACTCTGTAGGATGAAGCCATGGAAATTAAAGTGGTGTCAAACTGCATTATTTCTACCATACGGATGAACTCTAGGGTATTCACCTCAAAATTGTAGAGAGCTGTCCAAGGTGCTGAAATTTATCCTCAAAAGAAATACAGCATCTTGCATAGCTCCTTGAAATGAAAATGAAATGGAACTTAAATTTTATTTCCTGGAGTACCCACATGGCCAGAAAAATGTCCCTCTACACCACCTGAACTGAGAACAACCACATCTTGACAAAATTTCAGGCTTGAG